GTTTTAGCAATGTTCTGTTTGCAAGCTACATGTACCACGTAATAAAGAAGTATTTTTCTGATCCAAGCCTGGTTGCGTGAGAATGCTTCTGAACTGGGTTTTGGACATTGTGGACTTGACAGCTTGGTAGGCACAAGCACCTGAATTACTGACCACTAATGTGATCAAGGATCAGATCTGCTACATTAGGGTAAAAAAATAAGCTTTGCTTAGTAAAATAGCCTTCTCCAACTGATGCTGTCCTGGAGTGTGGTCCTTCAATTCCTGCAATACACAGCAAGCGCAGTAGCTAAATTGTACACATCAAGAGGGCACATAATCGCACACCCTATGAATCACAGCATACAATGATTGTAGGGTTGGAGGATGAAGAGTGAGAGAAATAATGGCTAACTTGTGGGTTCCTTTCATGCATTTTTTTTTGCACTTGTCTAATTTGTTATGAGGAAACCGGCCCCTTTAACTGATATGGGTTGAACTGGATGATTACACATTTTCATTGGATCCAGGAGGATTCTTAGTTTCACTGGACACATCCTGAACAGTGATCTGTACTGTACTGATTAGTACAGTAAACTAATAGAACAGGGTAATGTTGTAGCTTCATGGGAGATGATAGATTCATATAACTCTCTCCAAGCACTAAGCTCTCTGCATTAAGCCATAATGTTGATTTTAGCTTAATGCTGTGAGGAAAATATGTCTTTGGGTGAAGGAAATAAGTTTTTAGAGGCCTCAGATGAATGGGATCACCTTAATAAAACTGAAATATAAAGGAATGCGCAACATCCTTGAAGATGGCTGGCTGTAAAGAATTTATCCAACTGGTGTGAACTGGGCTGGTTGTAAAAAGCCTCATCACAAACATCCCAATATACAAGGCAACTATCTTGCAGTTCTTCCTGGCATTTGGCACCTTGAACTATCTTGTTTCTTCCTCTTAGTAAGGCTATTGTTTTCCTTGAAGATAGTAGACAAGAAGAGGGGCAAATACACAAGGCATCTGTCTCAAGGGAGGATGAGCTAAGAAGGGGGCCAGAAAGTAACTTGAAATCTATTGCTTACTGATGTATGCCTGCATCATCACATGAATACGTACAGTATGCATGCATCTTTTCCCATTCCCCTTCTTGTATAAATGTCAGGGTATCCATTTTGCCTGCAGAGGAGTGTCTCCCACTAACCCTTGGTTGGTCTCCTCCAGTGCGCACTGTCTAATAAACACTGCAGTGAAGCCTTGATTATTTTGCATTTAAGTCCTGCGTTTTGATTCCACAGAAACTAAAAACTTAGTTCCTTCACCCAAAGACACATTTTCCTCAGAATGCGATGAGCAAACATAGCCATTATGGTTTGAAACTCAAGGTTTATACCTTAGCATGTGAACAGAACCCTGCCAATTAGAAGCTTATTGGAGATAAATCATTATGAAATAAACCATGGCTTAGCCCAACATGCAAACCCATTTTCTAGGATGGAAAGTATCAGATTAATAAAAAACAGTCACAAGTCAGTTTTCCTTACCTTTCAATATACTCTGACAGTCCACATTCGTGCAGGGCCCGCTTGGAAGACCAGGCCTCAATTGGAGTCCCTCCCCAGGAGGTATCTATCAGCCCGATGGGATATTTGAGTTTCTCAAACAAATACTGGCCAAATAGCCAACATACTGCAGAAAAGTAACTGAAGTCTCCGTGGCCCAGGTTTCCTGTGCAATGGAATATTTTTTCCTAAAGTTTAGAACATTTTAATGCTTGGGAAATAATACAATAGTTATGTTCAACTTATTAGAAAATATAGACAAAGTAGAAAGGACCCATTCAAACAATTAAGTCTAACCATTTGGCCTTCCCGAACCTGCTATCCTCCAAATATGTTGTGTTAGCCACAGCTGCCATCATCTCCAACTAAAATGGCCAGGTTGACCATTCTGGCTTAGGAAAATAGAAGTAGCATCTTAGAGGCAACAACTCTATGAGTACTATCCAGATGCAGCACTGAATGTAACAGAAGAGGCATAATGGAAATTATTTCCTCCTGGCTACAAGATATATAGGAGCCAGTGGGGTGTAGTGGTGGAGGTGCTGAACTGGCCCCAGGGAGCCCCAGGTTCAAGTCCACCTTAAGCCACAGAAACTCCTAAAGGAATATGGACCAGTCACTCTCTCTCAGCCCAACACATCTCATAAAGCTGCTGTGGAGAAAAATGGATTGAGAACACACTAAAGATGCCTGTTTGGGCTCCTGGGCAAAAGGTGGATATGAATCTAGGAAATAAAAAATATTTGCAGAAGAGTCAAAAAGTCTTTTGTTTTCTATAGTGAAATCAGAGACTTAAAAAATCCCTTACTCCAAATTGGAAAAAAAAAATGCCTTCAGAGGATTTATGCAATCCAGCCTTCTATATACCACTCTGATCATCCCATAGCTCTCTTGAAGAGAACGGTCATCTTTGTAAAGACCAAGAGTTCAATTCTTACCCCACCAACCAACCATAACATGAAAGATATCTCTTATTGGTCCTGTAGATTGCTTGCTAGAAGATTGACTTAAGGCTCTTACTGGCTGTTGGAATGGACCACTGCAAGTTGATGCCTCCAAGGTCTTGCAGTTCCACATGTGACTGAATCAGGGCAGTGGAAAATATCCGCAAAAGGGGATACTTGGATGCTTCTTCAAGCTCCTTGCTAGCATTGAATATCTAGGAAGCAGAACAGATTCCACTTAAATTACAATTAAAAAGAGAGAAGTTAAAAAGAATGTTCACACTTGCAGGCAACAGAGCAAACTATCATCAGCTGTGGTCTGCTAGTCTCCCTCCTGCCTTGTTGGTATTCTAGCAACATAGTGACTGGCTACTCAACATTTCCTGGTTTTTTTAAAAACCAAACTAGGCGTAGGTATACTTGGGATCATAAGCCACTGTGTACAAGTAGTCCTCCCTTAATGACCATTTGTTTAGTGACCGTTTAAAGTTACAACAGCACTGAAAAGAGTGACTATCAACCGGTCCTTGCACTTATGACCGTTGCAGCATCCCTGTGGTCACGTGATCACGATTCGGACACTTGGCAACTGGTGTGCATTTACAACAGTCACAGCATCCCACAATCACACGATCGCCATTTGTGACCTTCCCAGCCAGCTTCTGACAACCAAAGTCAATGGGGAAGCCAGAAGTAGGACACAGGTCACAGTCATGTGATGTCTCGTTTAACAACCACAACTAGGACTGCTGGAACTGTCATAAGTCGGCACGGTCTCATTTCACTTAACAACCGCTTTGCCTAGCAACAGAGTTGCCAGTCCCAATTAGGGTAGTTAAGCGAAGACTACCTGTATAAAATGCTCTCACATGCTCTTGGTGGATGAAAAAAAAAGTGAAGCAGCCACTCCTAAATTCTCTCTCATTTTTATTGGAAATTAAGATAGTTCTTAGTCTAGTTTTGAACAACCCATGGAGCAACAGGTTAGAGCAGGTAAATGAAGAACAATCAATGAGCATAGATCATGGTTAAGGCAGAATGGTTGAATCACAATCTGGACTTTAGGCTGAACACAGTAAGCCAGTTCAGTTTATCATTAGAATAAGCCCAAAATATCCTTTTAAGAAGAGTTATTCTCAGCCTATGTCTCCTTAGGCAGAACCAAGTGGCTCCAGATTATTTCCTGGAATGCTTTGCCATCTTATCCCTGTCATGTGTGGCCCTTAAACCACATTTGGAATTTATAGGAATGTGGTTCACCTGTGAAACTGTCATCTCCATGTTACTCTGTCCGCTGCAAATCCAGACATCTCCAAAGTAGATATCTTCCAAGGTCATATTGGACACTTCTTCCTTGATGTACTGGTGTACCTCTATAGTATAGGGACCTCCTTGGGCCACAGGATCCAGGATAACTTTCCAAGTCTCAGAGCTTTCTGATAATGTTGATAGACAAAACCAAATTAAATCTCAGGCTCGATATCAGCACAAAGCTATTCCAAAGTAATAAATGCACAAATATCAAGCCAAGTTTTATTTGCTTAAAGACCAATGGTTACCATAAAATCGGGCGGAAATCATTACAGTACAGATGATGAGGAACATGCAAAGAAGAGGCTGATCTGTTCCAGGAGGGTGGTCCACAATTATGATCTCACCATAGTCATTTTCACCTGCCTACTCAATCTCCTATGTGCAAAGCAAACAACAGAATTGCAAGGCTGAAAGCAGGTGATTTGAGGAAATTTTTCTAAGCAATTTAGAATCATGGTGGGAAACTGTGGCTCTCCAGATGCTTCCTGCAACAACTTCCAGCAACCATCAATACTGGCCTGGCTGACTGAGACTGCTGGAAGTTGTCCAGCAACATCTGAAGGATCTCAAATTTCTAATGCTTGATTTAGAACACTGTTTCTCAAACTTGGCAACTTTAAGATGTGTGGACTTCAGTTCCCAGAATTCCCCAGCCAGCATGAAGTTGCCGAGGTCGAGAAACATTGGTCTGTTCACTACAGATCAATATCTTTCCTAGAATGATCAAACCTCTGACCAACAGTTTATTGTGCTTTAGCCAAAGTTCAACTTTCTTGTTCAGAAATGGATGATTTATTGCCAAATGTTAAATGTTTGGTAGAGTTCAGCTCTGCTTAGCCAAGTGCCTTCTATATTTGTTGGACCACAACCATAGCTTTTTGATTCCTGCACTGAACAGGGGTTGAATTTGACGGCCTGTATAGCTCCTTCTGTTTTTTAAGATTCTAAAATTCAGGAAATACTGCCAACACATCTTACTTCTGGAAATATAAGAAGGAAATACACAGCCACCCATACAGGAATGCAGTCAAGCCCAAGAGGATGCCAGAAGGAAGCACCATTTCAGCTATTAACATGTATAGGCATTGGTACAAGGAAAGACATGTTCAAATTTTTAATATTATTGATTACCGTCAACCTGTGCCATTTTGGTCACAACACTGTGATTCTGGGAGAGTGTCAGCATCACTTTGGAACCAGGATCTCCAAAGCCCCATATGATTGCACGATATGGTTCCTTCTGGAGTACCATGTGATCACCATAATAGGAAGCAAAGCGAAGCTTAGCACCTGGGGCAAACAAAACAACATGACAATCTGGTTTACAGCTGCAGCTTCTCAAAAATACTCCAGCAATGCCTAAGATGTGGTGCAGCCAATCAATCTTAGACATTTCTGAACAGCAAAAATAGCTGCCAATTTGTAACAGGTTGTCAAGGAAGCATATTACTAAGAAACAATACATCCCGGACACTTGTTGCTCTAATTTGTCTTAAGAAAATCTTTAAGACTGCACAACTACTTCTATTGTTTGCTCGTTTTCTTTTGGAAATACACAATCATATGTTTTTCCTATTTTTCCAACCGCAGCTGTTTTCTGCTGCTCCCCCCACCTCACATACATTCATCTACAATCCTCTACTTCCCTATCCAGTACTGTCTTTGGAATTCCACTTTTATAGTACTAGTTTTTAGGAAAGCATGTCACAGAAGAAGCCTGTGTGTCTGTCTGTAGGTATCTCTCTGAGTGCATATTTCTTTCACCCCAATTCTCTGAGAAGAGAGCGTTTCTTACCATGTGCCACTTAATGCCAAGGGAGGAGGCTGTGCCTACAGCAGTCTGTCTCTGATCCCCTCCCCACTGCAGGAGATGGAGGGGACAAACAGAGGCCACTTTACCTTCTTGCCATTGTTTGTTGGATTTAAATAATGCACTGTTGTCTTCATGTAACATGCTGAACCCAGATTAACCAAATACAATTATTGTATACTCATATCTCCCAATGCCTAAACAAATACAGCTTAATGTGATTGCCTGGTTAATGTAGTATGTCAAGACAATGCCTAGGTTTCCACAATGTCCTGAAACACAACCAACCCTACCCCCCCACCCCCATTTTAGTCTAGTCTAGCATGTTGTACAAACCCAGCTGTTAAGTCTTTAAATAACCTGGCTCAGCACACTATGAGCAAAACCATAAAAAAAGAAGAAGAAATCATTCTCTTACTGCTATGGCAACCCTATACTTATTTACTTGAAAGTCAATCTCACTGATGCAAACAGAGCTTCATATACAGCATCATATCCTTAACAGTGTTTGAATGACAAAGTGAAGGAGACAGAGGAGTCAGTTGTCTTACATTTTATTCGTGGCTGCCTTAGCTACTGTTTTTAATGGTTTATTAGAAGTATAGCTTGATAAATATTGGGGGTTAAACATTTAAATTAAGGCTGTACCAGTCAATATCTTTCTCCCACAATTTGGGTAACTTTAGTATTAATTAGGGATTAATACCTGTTATAATTAACTGACCTACTTCCACTCACTGAGCTACTGCCATCACCCCATTTATCTACAAAAATATGTAAATAATTACAGTATTTACATATAATTTGGCAATAGGCCTTTATTGAACTGGCATGTTCATTTAAACATTAAAGAACTAAAAAGCAAGGGAGAAATGCTATTTGTAAAGAGTTTAAACAGGATGAGGCTCTGTTAACAAGAACCATCAGTGTGGTATTTAACTGAGTTATAGCATGGTTTGTTTCATACTCTACCATGGCATTTGCAGATGCTGCAAAATATAGGTCGCAGTAGATAATTTGCAAGAGAAGGAACAGGAGCTGAGCTAGGAGGACAGGATGGCAAGCAAACAGTGTTTCCTTATTTTATTGTATAGTAGAAACAGTTGCCTGATGCGTTTCAGGATATAGCATAAAGCTGAAAATAGGATATCTCAAAAAGAGATTTGCAAAAAAGTATAATAAGCGTGTCTCCAAAGGGGCAACTATCCTAAGCAACTGTTTACAAAACTCTTAAGGATGCAATCATGAACACACGCAAGAGTAAATCCTACTAGACACTGAACTCAAGGGACATTCTTTATAAATATGTTTAAAGTTCAAAGGAAACCTAACATATAGTCCTCCATTAAGAGATGAGCTCTCCTCTGACTTATTCTCACCAATTGCTGAACCAAACTTTGCCCAGCCTTGCTCAAGGAAGCTCAGCCTGTGCAAGATACAAACAAAAACCATCTGGTGGATGCTTAGCATCAATGGAAAGGAAGGGAGTTCCTACCAGCTGTATACTGTTACAGTTTTCAACAGGCACTGCTCTCTCCAGACTGCACTCCCCTGGCCAATAATGTTCATTCACGTGTAGTAGCAGCAGCAGCTACCTTTCCTCACTTACCTGCGGTACAAGCCAAGAGCAACACAAGTGGCAAGGAAGCCTCCATCATCCTTTCCAACAACACCAAGGCAGGAAGTCAGAGCATGCAATTCTGGGAGCAGAAAATGTCCAGAGTCTGTATCTTTAAGACATCAATCTCCTTGTGACCTCACACTGGGCTGATTCAAGCCAGGGGACAACATGGGGCTGGCAATGGGGAATCAACACAGCTGTTTATAGGAATGGGGACCACCCAGCAAGCATCAATCCCTAATAATGCTTCAGACGGTTTCAAGCATTAGGCTGAGGTGGAAAAGACTATTTGGCTGGATCCTAAATCTGACCTACAGGATCCTTATGACTTCTCCCTCTTCTGAAAATCTGCTCCCTAAATTGGAGGGAAAAGCCTCTGAGGCAGAAAAAAAGGGCTGTAAGGATAACAGAGCAGTTGAATGTTACCCAGTGCCTCCTGAGAAATTCTTCTGAACTCCAATTTACCTCAGTATTACATTATTTGTGCTCATAGCTCCGCAAATCCACAACTTGGGTTTACTAAATTTTGGGGCTGGGTTCACCAATGAAAAAGTTACATTTTTTAAAAATCCTAGCTTACTCATTAAGCTATGATAGTCAATTCACATAAAATCCAAATAAACCACCCAATGGTTTATGTGTAAACCAGCCAGCCTTTGGCTCTTGCCCTAACTCTTCTTTGCAGCTTCAAACCTTGACACCTCTCAGTGAAGCTTTATCCTTTCTATTGCAAAAGAATGGCTTGCACAGTATTCTGAAAGTTCAGCTAAGCATTTAAAGTAAGGACGTGTGTAAACTTGGATGGGAAATGACCAGAACACAGCGGGAGTGTTGGATAGACTGGGAAGCAGAAAACACATCCCAGGCAATAGCACTGGCAGATCCTCTCTGCCTTGGTGCAGAGGATGGTATGTGTCAGGAATAAAACTTCTTAGAAAGAGCATCCATTTTTAGCCATGACTGGATACAGTACACTATTATCTACAGTTGGGTTCGTACATAATGCCAAACCATATACTGTCTGAACTACATTTTGGAATAAGCCACAACTGGCTAAATCCACACAGCAGCCTACTGTAATCCAGGAATTAGAGATTCCCACAACATGCTAAGCTCTGCTGTGGTTCCTTGATGGGTGAATCCAGCCTCTTGGGAAGAGTCTGCTCTAACACCACCTTCTGCAACCTGGTGCCCCCCAGAAACGTTGGACTGCAACGCCCATCGCCGCCCTTGTAGGCGAACCCATCTGCAAAGCACCAGGTACAGCACCCCTGCCCACCGGCTCAGCCCTCCGCACCTACCCAGACGGCGCGGGGCGCCGGCCCTGACATGAAACCCCCGGAGGTTGCCAAGAGGCCCGGTGTGTGACGTTACCGCGGGCTCTCTATGACGCAGCCGCCCCGGACCCGCCTGAGACGCGGCCTCAAGCGCTCCCGGCCCGCAGAGTCCCCGCTCAATGGGCCCTGGGAAGACGTACTAGGAGCGGAGGCTCTCCGCTTAGACCTTAAAATCTCGGCCGCGCCACCGCCTCCTTCACTGGCGCCAAAAACGGAACGGAGAACGCGGTGAGAAGCCAGGCCGCGACGAGAGTTAGTGAAGGGCGGGGGAAAAGGTTTGGCCGCTGAAGGACGGAACCTGCAGCCAATCGGCAGGCGGGTAGGCCGGCCAGAGGAGACCCAACCGCGCGACTTTTCGCTCTTCTGGCCGTCCCCGCTTGCCATCTTAATTCGAGTTGCTAAGCAACGGCAGGGATGTCGTTAACTTTCCCCGCCTCCCGGGCAAAGGCCCATCTGGGGAAAGAGGGCTAGGTAACGACCCTCCCGACGCGCCGGGGAGCTGACGACGACGGGGCGGCGTGGGCGCGCTGAGCCCCTCCTGTGGCGTCAGCTCCAGGCTGAGGAGGAAGAGGCGCAGGCAGGTCAGGAGCCCCGGACCTGGCCGAGTCAGGACGACAGCGCCTTTGAACATGGGCAGAGTATTTAGCCCCGCGAGGGAAAGGGATCCACTATTGCCGCCTTCCTCCACCTGATGCCGCCTTTTAGAGATACTGGACTACAGCCCCCATAATTCCCAGCAAGCATGGCCGGGAATTCTGGGCGCTGCTGCCGACCGCATCCAGAAAAGGCCGAGTAGGGTCGCGGTTTCGACTCGGGGGGTGGCGGGGGAGGTTGTGGGTTGCAGACGAACCTTTTTCGCTCCTTGCAGAAATCTGGAAATTCCTCATGATTGACTTGGAAGAGATGGTCGTTAGCGGGTATTGTTAAGACTTGGAAAAGCTTGATATGGGGGGGGGGGGATAGTCGGGTAAACGGGGTTACCCCCCCACAAAACTTTAAGGTCCCCCACGTTTTTATATTAGGCATTTTTTTCCTCCTCTGCTCTTTTCCATGGAAG